CCATCCATCCATCCATCCATCCATCCATCCATCCATCCATCTTAATTGCTCTATCGCTCCATATATCTATGACTTGCTCTAGTGCCCTATTGTTCGCTCTATATATTGCTCTGTCTATTGTGTGCTATATCATTCGCTCTGTCGTTCTATCTATATAGTGCTTGCTGCATCGCTCGCTCACTTGCTCTATTGTTTGCTCTGTCGCTTTCTCTACTGCTCTAGCACCATCACTCTACCACTATATATTGCTTGCTCCCTCACTATCGCTCTGTCTCACTCTGTGTGTGTATATATATATATATATATATATATATATATATATATATATATATGTATATATATATGTATATATTATACAGTATATATTATACAGTATATATTATACAGTAAATCCTTTCACAACATTCTCTTGTAAACTGTTAACGCTGATATTAAATGTTTTCCTGGATCTTCTCACATCAGAGTTGTGGAATGATGGACTGCACACTCGGAAGAACAAGAAAAAGGACCCGTTCTGTCCTGTCAAGAAGAAGAAGCCAGTTGTTGTTTCTGATATCCTTTCACGTCGACCCACAATCGTATTGCTCATCTTCTGTTATCAGCGCTTCACCGACAGATGTTTCCTGCTGTTTCTCTTGTTCTCCTTAACCCTCCATGTTTGTTCACGCCCTTATATTGTATACATGCTGCAGGATCTGGATATTCTTGAAGACTGGACCGCAATAAGGAAGGTAATATCTCTGGAAGAGGACAAAGACGTCGCTGGGAACAAAGTTGTGATGTAACTTTTCAAGTTGTGTCTCCTCCACAGGCCATGGCATCTCTGGGGCCGCACCGGGTCAAGGTGGATGGTAAGAGTTCTCCTCGTTCTCGGTTACAGTCAATACCTGGCAGAACTCAGCAATCGACCGGGATCCAGACAGGGAGGTTTGATGGGGTCCTTGTTTTTCCCCTTCAGCCCCTGCAGCGAAGACGGACAGATATCACCACGTGGCTCGCTCCGAGGACGGTCGGCTTTTCTACGACAACCAGTGGTACTGCAGAGGACAGACCATCTGCATCAACAGGAAGGACGAGAGTCCAACGAGGTTCGTGTGGGAGGACGATCTGTGGCAGAATGGGCGCCGGGTAAAAAAACGATGCAATCTGTGGTGGTGTTGGGAATTTTGTAAGAAAAAAGATAAAAGATGAATTTTTAAACTGACACAAGCACTGCAGCTCCTCTGTGAGCTGTCCGTCAGATTACAGGTGATCCGATCCAGTCTCGAGTCAGACCGGAGGCCCAGTAAAGAGTTGATGAGTTTTGTGTTCTGGCCTTTAGGACGGGGATAACCTTTTCTTTAATTTAACAAAGCAAACATTCCAACAACAACAAAAGAAACCAGCTTTAGGACAAATTAACGGGAACTTAACTGAATAGTTCAGACTATTTTGAAGTAGGATTCCATGGAGAGGATATAAACAATTAGTGTCTTACCTGTTGCAGACAGCGTTGTAAACAACCAGTTTGGAGAAACGGTGTTCATTAGACTGGACTGATGAGTAACGGCTGGTCTGAGCAGAGTGGATTCCTGCCGCTTGAAAACGGCTCCGTGTATAAAACTGTTGGAGCAGTTCCTGAAAGACGACTTGAATAAAAATGTACATATTTCATGTAGTGAACGTAAGTTGGATAATTAATGTCCTGTAACGTCTGCAGTCTTGGTGATAGATGTTCTTGAATAGCGTGAGTTTGATCAGAGGTTGGCTGAATATCAGACCCCGTCTCACCACCGCCTGCCGTGGCTGCGAGGACCGAGGCGCCGCCTGGTGCCGCTTTTTACACGTTTGCTTGTGTTTCTGTTGCAGTGCCATCATCACCACGGTCAACAACGACGAGGTGTGGTTCAAACGGCTGGACGGCACCAAGTCAAAGCTGTACGTCTCCCAGCTGCAGAAAGGCAAATACACCATCAAACACTCCTAGACGGGATCAAACACACACCACCATCCCACTCTACGGTGTCTTGTCTTTAAGTTCCCGTGCGGGGCGTCTCTCTATGATGGTGTGTGAAAACAGCCAGGGGTCAGGATGTGGATCCGTTCTGTACGTGTGCTCCTATGAACACAACCAAGTGTGACATCAATGAAAAGTGCTGCTAAAAGAAACAAACTGTGAAGCAGAACTCAGTCGAGTGCCTTTCTGGGAGGAAACTTTGCCCCCGCTGAAGGTGGTGGTGGTGGAGGGGGACTATGAATGCAGCGAAGCCTTACTCCGTACTGCGATGGCACCAGGAGGACTGCAGCGGGTGAATGAGGTGGGGGTGTCAGCAGGGAGTTGATGAGTTAAACTTGAATTTCTTAGAACAAGTTAAATGTGACCGTCGGCACAGACCCCAGATCAGTTTAGTTAGAACGAACAGGAGGGACGACGTGAAACTTTGTGACTATAAAGAGATCAAAGTGTTCCCGAAGTGTTGGTTGTAATCCACTTTGAGAATTACTGTGGTAAAGATAGTTTTTGTATTTTTTTCCCGTTTAATTTCTCTGCAACTTTACGTTTTTAAACTTAAAGGGAAATTCCAACCAGTTTGTAGCGAGGGTCTATGAAAAGTTTTGTAACAAATATTGTCTTACCTGCTGTAGATGACTCCCGTAACAACTGCCGTTCAGAGGAAAGGATTATTGCTCACTGCCATAAAATGCGTGCAGTCATGTACGTGTTTGCCTGTCTTTCTGTTAGCAAAATATCTCACGAATCACTGGATGGATTTTGATAAAACTCGAGAAGTATCAGATCTGCATCTGCAAGTAACTTTTGGAGTCAACCTAATTCAAAATGGCTGCGCCAGCTATTAAACCATTAACATAAAAATGGCTACAGCTAGCAGTAGCATTTTCAGGCAAGATCTTCGCGACATCTCTGCCAAAATAATGTTTTAGTGCAAAGCTGGTAAATATTTCAATATAACTGAGTTCATGAAACAGGTTGGAGTTTTAATCAAAGTTCAAAGAGCTTTATCCACGACAGGTAAGATTCATTTTTCATTTCTTGTCCACCAAACCTTTCTTCAAATTGGTTGGAATATCCCTTTTACAACCACGGCTCGCCCCCTGCACTAAAAAAAAAACCCTACGAGCTGACATCTGTATGTCCAGCAGATGTTGAGGGGAGCGGCCCTGTACATAGAAACGTGTGTTTTGTGATTCTTTTTGTTTGACTGTACCCGGATGATGTAATGGATGCAGGTGTGAACCCTCCAACGCCTCAACTCTGAAGCTTCGTGCCAATTTCAGCATCGAAACGTGTGCTGCTCATTGTCCTCGTCTTTTCTGTTGTCGTCGTCGTCCTGTTTGTTTACAGCTACGTTTTTGTCGACGAAGATGTAATAATGTAACGATGAGCGGGTATAAGGACGAAGCAGCATTAATTTCTGTATGAATCCATCCAACCTTTACGAGTGCATTGTTTTGAAAAACAGATCTTTCTTCACGTTGTTTACAGAAATTCGTATTCCTCCTGCGTTGTGCGCATCAAGTGTTCTCTGCTATAGTGTCGTTAAAAGACTGTTGCAACGAGAACCTGTTGGTAAAGCCTCGTGGCTTTTGCTGATGAACGTTTAATTTGTATAAATCATGGTTTCTTCTACGCATAATCCAAACTAAAATCTTCAAACTGTGCCAACTGCATGTACTAAGAATTAAAAGCTCTTGTTCGTATCACTTTGAGGTGAGTTGAATCTGCACACACGTCGAGTTCAAGTCGACTTTATTGTCGTTTCCACCACATGTGGTCCACGAGATGGAATGAAGTTATGTACTCAGGGTCCCAGTTACACCCTACAATAGAAGAAATATGAAGTATAAAAAGAAACGCTAATTAAGGATCAAGATATACACTAAATGAACGCCAAATGGTATGCTAAAAGATCCAAGATGTACGCTAATAATGTAAAAATTTAAATTCTGTATTTTGTAAATGTAATTTCTGCTGCACTGTAGAAATGTCTCCACTACAAGGTTCTAGGAAATTGGGTTCCTGGTTTTTGTGTGACTGTTGAGACTTGCTTCACTAGGGTGTCAAAGGTTTCTGGAGCATGTCCAGAAACTTTTCATGGGATTTTAAGCTGCTGTAGACGAAGCTTCCACCATGATGTTTTCTGAGTCTTTGTTTTGGTGAATATCCAAAACCAACGCATGAATGTGGCCAATGGGAGGCGCTCAGAGAAGTTATGAGTCCAGGTCTACAGTGGTGCTTGAAAGTTTGTGAACTCTTTATACTTTTCTATATTTCTGCATAAATATGAGCTAAAACATCATCAGATTTTAACACAAGTCCTAAATTAGATAAAAGAGAACCCAGTAAAACAAATGAGACAAAAATATTATACATGGTCGTTTAGTTAATGTGGAAAATGATCCGATATTACATATTTGAGTGTGTTAAAAGTATGTGAACCTCTAGGATTATCAGTTAATTTGAAGGTGAAATTGGAGTCAGGTGTGTTCAATCAGTGGGATGATGATCAGGTGTGTTCAATCAGTGGGATGATGATCAGGTGTGTTCAATCAGTGGGATGATGATCAGGTGTGAGTGGACACCCTGTTTGATTTAAAGAACAGTGATCTATCAAAGTCTGCTCTTGGAGGGCTTCCGGTTAAGGACGGAAGGGAGGTGCGGCGCACGATAATTTAAAACAATTTACTAATACAGCTGAATGGTTAAAAATTTGAAATTGAAAACGACAAAAGAAGAAAATGAAGATAAAGAATCTTCGGGTGTCTGGAAGTCAACGTTGAGGGAACACCCAGGACGTTATTTGGAAATCCCGTGGACTGGTGAAGGAACTGTGGATAAAGACTACGGCGGGTAGGCACAGCTGTGCTGTGAATGGGCCAGAGAGGGAAAGTACTGTAGGTAATGAGAGGGAGGTGCGTAGTGATAATTCATGTAGTGAAAGGATGAGTCCAAAAAGAGGAAATTCTTCGGTGGTGGCAGATGCAGTAAAGAAGGGAAGGGTAGTGACAAACTGGGATGAGTCTGAAGTAGAAATGGAGAGGGAGGTAAAGGAGTTCAAAGTCATTGTTAGAGTCAATGAGGAGAAGGGACTTCAATTAATCAACCCAGTTAGGCTATCCACTTTTTTGAAGAATCAAGTGGGAGACATTAAATGGTAAATGGACTGTACTTATATAGCGCCTTTCTATCTTATTTCAAGATACTCAAAGCGCTTTACAACACAATCTGTGCCTCGTTTACCCTTTCATACAGCACTCTACTAGATCTCTGCAAAGATAATTGAACAAATCATTCTAAAGAGACTAATCAGAGCTTTATCACATTCATGCACTGATGGGACACACATCAGAGGCAATGATGGGTTCAGTGTCTTGCCCATGGACACTTGGGCATGTGACTGCTGGTGGATTCGAACCCCCAACTCTTGCATTGGAGGACGACTGCTCCAACCACTCAGCCACAGCCGCCCATTACAACAGCAAACATTCTGAGAGATGGAAACTTGATTATTTGCAACACAGAAGAACAAAAAGACAGAGCATGTAGGCTGAGGGAGGTGGGAAAGTGTAAAGTGACAAGTGTGAGCCTTGTACAAGAAGGGAATAGGTGGAAGAAAGGAGTGATTTGGGGGATCCCGGTTGAAGTCTCAGTTGAGGAAATAAAATCAAATGTTAGAAAGGGGAGAGTTAAAGATGTGAGAAGGCTCCAAAGTTTTAAAAATGGAGAGAAAGGAACAGTGAAAGCATTTTGCTAGAATTTGATGAGGAAATACTACCAGGAAAAGTCTATTTAGGGTTTATGGCCTACAGTGTGAGAGAATATGTCCCACGTCCACTTAGGTGTTATAATTGCCAAAGATTTGGCCATACAGCTCAGACATGTAAAGGAAAGAGAAGGTGTGCACGGTGTGGAGAAGATCCCGAATATGAAAAGTGCAATAAGAGCAGACAACCAAAATGCTGCAGTTGTGGTGGAAGTCACAGTGTGGCGTATGGAGGCTGTGAAGTGATGAAGAGGACGGTACAGGTCCAACAGGTCAGAGTACGCAACAAAGTGTCCTGTGCAGAGGCTGTCAAAGTGGTAAAGCAAAGAAAAGATGTTGAGGTGGAAAACAGGATGGATGCAGGGCCAAACCAAACAAGAGAAAATAAAGTGTGTGTGGATTTAAAAAGCTTGGTGACATTCATTGCAGGGGTTATAAATGCAACGATGGAAATAAAGTCAAAAACAGAATTCAAATAATGGTGAAAGCAGCAGCGAATCATCTTAATATTAACGAACTATCATGGGAAGAAGTGAGGGATGACCTCAGTGCTCAGGCCAATCAAGAAGCAGCATGGGTAGGATAACACAAGTATTATGGTCTTGATTCTTCACTGGAATGCAAGAAGTTTAATATCAAATGGACAGGAATTAAAACACTTTATTGATGAATTAGAAGAGGATCCTGAAATTATCTGTGTACAAGAAATCTGGTTAAAACCCCAATTAGATTTCAAAATTTCAAATTCTACTACTGTTCGATATGATCTGGTAGAAGGTAATGGTGGTGGTTGTGCCACTTTTATTAGAGAGAACCTGCCTTTTAGAGTGGTAAAGAAAGGACATGAAGATGAAGTTATTGTAGTGGAGATATGGATAAATGCAGAACCATTTATTATAATAAATTATTATAATCCATGTAAAATATTAGATCCGGATCATTCCAAGGTGTGATAGTCAGTGAGGTCACAAAGGACCCCAGGGTAACTTCTAACAACTGAAGGTCTCTCTCACATTGACTATTGTTGATGTTCATGAGTGCACCATCAGGAGAACTCAGAACAACAATGTTGTGCACGGCAGGGTTGAAGGAGGAAGACACTGCTCTCCAACAAGAACATGGCTGCTCGTCTGCAGATCTGAAGATCACGTGGACAAACCAGAAGACTGTTGGAAAAATATTTTGTGGACGGGTGAGACCAAAA